GAGTCTGGGCTGGGGGGGCTGGGGAGGGGAGTACGGGCCAGAGGGGGGCCCAGACCATCCTCCCTTCCCCCACCCCTCCCTCCCTCCTTCCTTCCTTTTCTCCCTCCCTCCCTTCCTTTCTTTCTTCCTTCCTTTCTTCCTTTTTCCTTCCTTCCTCCCTGCCTCCCTTCTCTCTTCCTTCCCTCTCTCTTTCTCCAGAACGGCCTTGAACTCAGGGTTTCTCACATGGCTCTTTCACTCAAGGCGGGCGCTCTACCACCTGAGCCACAGCCCCACTTCTCGTGTTCTGATGCTTCCTCGGAGGGCAGAGTCTCACGGACTTTCCTGCCCAGGCTGGCTTTGAACCGCAATCCTCACATCTCCACTTCCCGAGGAGCTGGGATGGTGGGCGTGTGCTACAGCACGGGGCTTTGGCAGCAGGAGTCCTTGAACTTTCCAGCCCACTGTGATTTCTCTACTTTGGGCCTCAGTGTCTCTCTTCTAGAGTGTTCCTTGTCCCCCTTCTCACCCACGTCCTCCCCACAGCCCCAGGAGAGAGCATGTCCAGCAGGTGGGCTCCTCCGGGAGTCCATGAGTACTTGGGCCCTGGCGTGGGGGGGAGCAGGGGTGTGTGTGTGTGTGTGTGTGCACGCGCATGCGCGTGTGCAGTAGAGTGGCAGCGTTCACGGCCATTGAAGCTGGGCTCCACTGTGTCCGCAGCTACTGTGCTGAGGGCCGCATGCACTGCACAGCCAGAGCCGGCCCTGGGGCCCTTGCGCTCAACACTGGCCTGGGCAGCGCCCTGTCCCACCGCGGTGAGTGTCCCCTCCCCTCCTCTTCCTCCTTCCCTCCTCTCCTCCCCTTCCCTCCCTTCCCCTCTCCTCCTTTTCCCTTGGTTTTCCTCCCTTGCCTTCTCCCCTCCCCTCTCCTGGTATCTTCTCTCCAAAGTCAAGAAACTGGAATTCTCTGCAGACCAGGCAAAGTCTGGCCCTTGGGGGTTCACACCTGGCAGCACTCAAGCCCTGAGTTCAAATCCTAGTCTCAACACACACACACACACACACACACACACACACTTCTTTTGCAACAAATGCCAGGTGTTGGAAAGCCTGGGTCTAGAAACTTCCATCCTGCATCTCCATTCAGTGAAATCGGCAGGATTAGAGAGCATAAGTTGGGGTGTGGGGGCGATCAGCCAGCTCAGCCGCAGAGGCTGAGCCCCGGGCCCGCAGGCCACAGCCAGGCCCGGGCAGGCAGCCTGCACGCCTCCTGCGAGTTCCAGGCCGGGAGACGGAGCTCTGCCTGCTCAGCCCGCCGCCAACCTCCGCTTTGGGGTTTCCACTGTGAAGGCAAAAGGAGCCTCTCGTGCCGGCCCCCGATGGTCAAGCTGGTGTGTCCCGCCGACAACCCACACGCCCAAGGAATCGAGTGTGCCAAGACGTGCCAAAACTACGACCTGGAGTGCATGAGCCCGGGCTGCGTGTCCGGCTGCCTCTGTCCCCTGGGCATGGTGAGCTTCCCCTGGCTGCCCCTTTCCCTCCTCCTCTCCCTGCAGACGGTGGCGGAAGCAAGGAGGGCCGGATAGGAAGATGTGTGTGGGGGGAGGAGGAGAGCTGAGGGGGCCAAGAAACCACCAAAGCTGGAGGGGGGGGGGAAGAAACCGCCAAAGCCCAGGAGGAGGGACTGGATCAGGAGACAGAGGGTTTCCAGAAAAAGACTTGCAGGTAGACAAAGGCATTTGTGCTCGGATTGTTCAGTGTGTGCAGGGCAGATCGAACATTCTCTTTTTTCTTTTGTGCCAGTCCTGGGGCTTCGAACCCGGGCTGGGCGGGCATTGTTCCTGAGCTTCTTTTGCTCAAGGCTGGCACTCTACCACTTGAGCCACAGCGCCACTTCTGGTTTTCTGGTGGTTCATTGGAGATCAGAGTCTCATGGGGACTTGATTGCTCTGGCTGGCTTTGAACCTCGATCCTCAGATCTCAGCCTCCCGAGTAGCTCGGATGACAGGCTTGAGCCGCCCATGAACTGCAGAGGTTGATACTAAACATCGCCATAGTAAGTTCACGGAGGAAAGTGGTGAGCAGTGTATGAGCAGAGGAGTAGAGGTACTTTGCCATCTTATGCTGAGAACCATTTGTCAGAATTTAGGATTCACATGGGGAACCCACTTGGTCACCTGATTCCTAAACTGAAGGGAGGGGTGGGGCGGGGAGAGAGGGAGGGAGGGTGGGAAGGAGGATGGTTGGGGTGGATCAAGACACAGTGTACCCACAAATAGACATGTTGCATGGAAACCCCTCTGTTAGCTACTTAAGGATAACACAGTAGTAACAAGTTAGGCACTGGTGGGCCACGCCTGTCATCCTGGCTCCTCAGGAGGCTGAGAGGTGAGGATTGTGGTTGCAAGCCAGCCCTGGCTAGCCAGTCTGTGAGACTCTGATCTCCAGTGAACCAACCAAAAAACAAAAGCCAGAAGTGGAGTGGTAACTCAAATGGGAGAGCACCAACTTGGAGCAGAGTTCAAGCCCAGGTCCAGAATATAATAAATAGTAACAATAGTAATAATAATAGACGTATTACTCAATTCTACCACTGGGGGGCAGCAAAACACAGCCCATCCCAGAGGTCGCTTGTTCCAGGACAAACTTAAGACTCACAGTTTGGGGGGTGGGGTGGGGTGAGGCTGGAGTGTAACCCACGGGGAGGGGGGGGTAAGGGAGTTTGCCTAGCAGACATGAGGCCCTGGGTTCAATACCCACTACCTCCAACACACACACACACACACACACACACACACACACACACACACACCCCAACTCCCCTAGGCTGGGAGGGCGGGAGCTGGCTGGAGGGTAGGAAGAGCACAGATTGAGGCAGGCCAGGTGAGCAGGCTCAGGTTTCCCTGGGATCCATCTCTCTGCACAGCCTTAAAGTAGTTGTATAGGGGGGTTTCTCTCCAACAGGTCACTCTGAGCACAAGGCCTCCTGCTCCACCACACCCCTTCCGTTTGTCCCAGGCCGGCTATCCACTGTAGGGGAGGGGCTCTGTCACGCACCACTAGAGTCCCCACTAGGTGGCAGGCCTTGGTTTTGTGTCCGAGTGGCCCCACTGGAGGGCTGTGTGACCCAGCCTTTGAAGGTTTAGGAAGTCCCTCCTTGACCCTGCCTTGTACCCCTCTTCCCAGCTGGGTCCCTGAGCTGTCTCCCCCAAACCTGCAAGGTAGAGCTGCTGTGGTTGAGATGCGGCTCTTGAGGTTAATTTTCCCTCACCCCAACACACACACGCACGCACACACACACACACACACACACACGTATAACGTGTATACACGTTCACACTTTCCTGCTCAGTCTTAAGCTATGATCGTTGACAGGAAAGCTCTCTGTTTGGCTCACACCCTGGCTGAATGTGAGGATCAGTGTCAGGTCAGGGGTCATGGGTCAGCATCAGGGGCCAGGTCAGGCCGCATCATTTTGCAGGCAGACTTGCAGAGCTACGCCTGGGTGGGTGTAGGGGGACCAGCAACCTGTCTGGTTGGGGTCCCTCCTGGTCAGCCCTTCCCGAGCCCCAGGACCCCCAGAAGGGCTTTGAATTCCTCTTCACACCTGGACCAGCACATAAACTGTCAGGAGGGACTTCGGGGGACAGGGGAAGAGAGCACCCCCCATTATTGGTGTCCATCAGGGTACCCCGGGACAGGGAGGAGGGTACATGGACCTGGACAGGCCCTGGGCTGGTTTTCCCCCTAGCATTTAGCCCTCCCTCCACAGTGGTAAGTTCTTGGTAATTCCCCCCCCCCCCCAAATATAATGCCTGTTTTCTTTAGCTCCAGACTTAACGGACCATCCATGGAAGAACGGGAAATCCTTAAAAAACAAAAAACAGCAGCAAAAAGAAAAATAAATCTTTACACAGTTCTGTTCTAGGCCACTACCTTGATTTTCTATTCCGTCTTTAAAAGATATGAATATAGTACACATATCTCTACATATATCTATCTGTCTGTCTCTGCCTGCGATCTGTCTGTTAGTCTGTCTCTGCCTGCTATCTATCTATCTATCTATCTATCTATCTATCTATCTATCTATCTATCTATCTATCTATCTATCTATCTGTCTGTCTATCTATCTATCTATCTCAGTCTAGCTGATTGTTTTGTCTGACTGTCTCTGTCTGCTATCTGTCTCTATCATCTTTTTGTCTGTCATCTGTCTGTCTGTCTGTCTACCTACCTACCTATCTCTCTATCTGATTGTCTATCTTGTCTGTCTCTGCTATCTATTTGTCTGTCTCTATCATCTATTTGTCATGCTATCTGTCTGTCTTACTTGTCTGTGCTGTCTATCTGTCTGATTGTCTGTCTTGATGGTCTGTCTCTGCCTGCCTGCCTGCCTGCCTGTCTGTCTGTCTATCTATCTATCTACCTATTTATCTATCTGTCTGTCTTATTATCTGTCTGTAAGAGTCAGGCAGGGGAGGAAAGCACTGGTTAGTATATATACATGTTTACATATACACACATATAAAAACGCATCTATGTCAAACTGGGACCACGCGTTTGAGCAACTTTCTTAGTGGTGTAAGCATGAGCCAGTGCGGTGGGTCACGCCCGTAACCCCGGCTACCTAGGGACGCGGAGATGGGAGGCTCAGGCTTGGGCTGGGGAGACCTCCAGGTCGGTGAGTAAGTGCAGTGTGGTTGTAGGAGGATCGCAGTCCAAGGCCAGCCCTGGCCAGTCCGTGACATCTTAGCCAGGACACAACGGAAGCGGGCGTGCGTGCGTGCGTGCGTGCGTGCTTGTGGTCCAGGTGGTGGAGCACCTGCCTAGCCTGCGGCCCTGAGTCCCCGTCTGGGTGTCACACACACGCACACATGCACACACACCAGTGGTGTGAGTGTGTCCCACTCTATGGAAGTCTCTCAAAGCACGCCTGGGGATTCCTTAAGGACTCCATCCTTGTCCCACCCTGGCTCCCGGCCGTGTCCATCAGCGGGGACGGTCGGCCATTGGCCCCATTCCCGTTTCCTCTGGAGCGGTCCTTTGGGAAATGTGACTGGGCACGTACACTTCCGGTGCTCACTCTTTCTGAACCCCCTCCAGGGGTTTGTAAACACTTTCACAAAGGTTCCGGGTCACGCTGCAGGAGGAGACCCAGGTGATCAGGCCCCAGCCAGTCCCCACCGAGGCTCACCGTCTGCCTGTCTGTCTGTCTGTTCCCTGCAGGTCCGCCATGACAATCGGTGTGTGGCCCTGGAGAGGTGTCCCTGCTTCCACCAGGGCAGAGAGTACGCACCAGGGGAGACGGTAAAGATGGACTGCAACACGTGGTGAGCTGCTGGGGTGGGGTGGGGTGCGGTGGGGGAATCCTGGGAGCAGAGGTGACCCCCACACAGGGCCCCCACACAGCGTAGGCTGATACCCCGCGTGAGAGCCTGGGGGGCCTTGGTAACGCTTCTCTGTGCCTCAGTTTCTCTGTCTGTGCTCGGTCTGTCAGAGACAAGGGGTTCAGGGGTGCTGTGTCCACATTCCCGCCCCTGAGCACGTGGCTTTGAGGGGTAACTGGTGAGGGGCCTGGGGTCCCTCTCCCCTTCACTCTGCTTTTGAGCTCACACAGCCTTATTAGCAGGACAGGGCGGGGATGCTGTACCCCAACTCTGACGCCCAGGTAGGCTGTCCGCGGTCAGCTCTGGTTATGGGGTGGTGCTGGAGGGGATGCATCACCATACAAAATCACTATAGGGTTTTTTGTTTGTTTGCTGATACTGGGGCCTGAACTCGGCCTGGGCGCTGTCCCTCAGCTCTTCAGCTCAAGGCTGGCGCTCTACCACTTGAGCCACAGCCCCACTTCCAGTTTTCTGGTGGCTTATTGGAGATCACAGTCTCCCGGCCTTCCCTGCGCAGGCTGGCTTTGAACTGTGATCCTCAGATCTCAGCCTCCTGAGTAGCTGGGATGACAGGTGTGAGTCATGGCACCCAGTGTCTGTATATTTTTTAAATACACACAGCTACAGTTGCACACAGCGGTAGCTTCCAGAATGAGGCCACGGCAGGCAGCCCGGAGAGGACCCTGGCTTCCTCCCTCCTTTTCCAGCTGCCTGGATCAACTCAGACGAATCCTCCTGTGCCTCAGTTCCCCCTTTGGAACCAGAGAGCAGCTTCGCTTTCCTTTCCCACCCGCTGGGCCTGTGGGAGTTCATGCTCTTCGGGTGGCAAGCCTTCAGTGTCGGTCACCTTTCTAGAACTTTCCAGAACCTTCCATCCCACTCCGTCGTCTCTCTTCTGTCACTTCTAAGGCTCCGTGGGACCCTCCCCTGCCCTCCCAGCCCCAGAACAGCCCCTGCCCTCCTTCTATCTTTGGTGTCACTGTCCCCAGTGTTTGTCGGGACCGGAAGTGGAACTGCACAGACCACGTGTGTGACGCCACGTGTTCCGTGCTGGGCGTGGCCCACTACATCACCTTCGATGGGCTCAAGTATCTGTTCCCTGGGGAGTGCCAGTACGTCCTGGTGCAGGTGAGGGGGAGGGGGGAGGGGAGGGGAGGAGGGCGGAGAGGGGAGGGGACGGGAGGGGAAGGGAGGAAGGAGGAGAGGGGAGGGGAGGGGTGCTGTGGGTCATTTTGGGAGCTCCCACATTGGATTCTGCCATTGTATTTGTAGAAACAAGTTTGGAAGAGAATGAGTGTGTGCGTGCATGCGTGTGTGTGTGTGTGTGTGTGTGTGTGAGACTCTGTTGTACTGGGGTGATGTCCCAGTCCTGGGTGGGTGTGGCCTCACAGAACCCCCAGTTCTCCAGCATGGACAGGAAAGAAGTAAGTGGAGCCAAGAAACACACACACACACACACACACACACACACACACACACACACACGAAGGCCGGGCGTCGGCGGGTCTCACGCCAGTCATCCTAACTACTCAGGAGGAGGCTGAGATCTGGAGGATCCTAGTTCAAAGCCGGCCCAGGGCAGGAAAATCTGTGAGACTTTCCAGTGAACCAGTGTGAGCAAAAAAGCCAGAAGTGGAGCTGTGGCTCAAGTGGTAGAGCGCCAGCCTTGAGCACAGTACAATAGGAGATAACATAAAATTCAGGGACAGTGCCCAGGCCCTGAGTTCAAGTCCCACGACCCATGCACACGTGTGTACGTGCATGTGCACGCGCGTGCGCACGCACACACACACACACCACAAACCAAAAAACACACAAAAAGGATGGGGGTGCTGTTAGGAGCCCACGGGGCTGGGCCGAGCCATTTTGGTTCCATTCTGGGCCTGGTGGCCGGAGGGAGGGGTTGAACGAGCCACGAGAATGGGGTGAGATTTGTTTGTGGGGGGACCCAGGGTGGGACTGAGACGGGCTGGCGTGTGGCCTGATCGGCTTGGCCATTTCTCCACTTCAGGCTCAGTGCCGGCCTCCCGCTGCCCCGAATGAAACATTCGTTCCTAATGAACTTCCCTAGCCCCACCCCCCATGTGCATGGGACCGTGCAAATGTCCTGTGGTCAGGGCCAGGGAGGGATGGTGGGGTAGTCATTCCCTCCCTCCCCTCTCTTCCCAGGACCATTGCGATGGGAGCCCAGGCACCTTCCGCGTGCTGGTGGGGAATGAGGGGTGCGGTCCCCCCGCAGTGGCCTGCCAGAAGCGGGTGACCATCCTGGCAGAAGGAGGCGAGGTGGAGCTGCTCGGCGGGGAGGTGAGGTTCCACCGTGGCCAGGCCGTCCACCCCGCGTCCTCCTAGCCCTCCGCCCGTCTGGGGGCTCTGCGGCCCTTGGGGACCCCGTTTGGGGTGACATGAGATGCGTGCTGGGGGGGCCATGGGCCGCGCTTCCCCTCCCTCCCTGCTTGCTGCACCTCAGATCATTGCTTTTTTTCTGGTAAAGCCTTGTGGATCTTCCTCCCTCGGCCTGTTGGTTGTGATGAGGTCTCGCCCACATTGTGTATGGATTTCTTTCTTTCCCATCCACGCCTGGCCTCAAACCATGATCTTCCTAAGTGGTGGGGATTCCAGGCGTGCACCGCGCTGCCCGGCAGGCGTGCTAGATTTGGCCCCGCTCTGGCAGGTGAGCGTGAAGAGGCCCCTGGAGGATGAGTCGCTCTTGGAGGTGGTGGAGTCTGGTCGCTACCTCATTGTGCTCCTGGGCCGGACCCTTTCTGTGGTGTGGGACCGGCACCGGAGTCTCTCCGTGGTGCTCAAACAGACCTTCCAGGTCAGTTCCCAGCCTTCCTGCCTTCTTCCCTGACTGGTGCTTCGGGGCCTGGATCAGGTCTCCGAGCGGCCTGCCAATCACCACCAGCACCATCAGCACCCTGCTTGCTTGGCTGGTGGTGCTTTACCACCCGATTCACGCCTCCAGCCCAGTTTTGCGGCTGGGGACTTAAAAAGGTGAGCTTTTTTTTTTTTGGCCTGGAACTACAATCCTCAGATGGCAGCCTCTTGAGTGGCTGCGATTACAGGTGTGAGCCACCAGGTCCTGGTGCCAGGTGTGCAGGGCCAGGTGGAGGTGACCCAAGCCACCACGACTTCCGTTCTTACACAAAAGAAGAGGAGGACGGGGCGATGTGAGCGATATAACTGGGAGAGGTGAATCGGACCTGCCCGGCTGCTCTCTTACTATGGGGTCCTTAAAAAAAAGTTTATTTGCCAGGCGCCGATGGCTCCCGCCTGTCATCCAGCTACTCAGGAGGCTGAGATCTGAGGATCACAGTTCACAGCCAGGAAAGTCTGAGACTCTGATCTCCAAAGAACCACCAGAAAACCGGGAGTGGCGCTGTGGCTCAAGTGGTAGAGCGCCCGCCTTGAGCTGAAGAGCTGAGGGACAGCGCCCAGGCCCTGAGTTCAGGCCCCACCACGGATAAAAAAATTATATCTATATCTGTCCATTGATGTCTGTTAATTGTGCAAAAGGGTTTCATGCAGACAGCATGCTTTACCCGGCTCACCCCGCCCTGTCTTTTCTGGGGTGTGGGGGGAGCTGTTTGTGAACCCACTGGTGGAGCTGTTTTTGGAAAAGGTGATGGCATTGGCTCAGGCCCTGGTGATTTCAGTGTCTGGTGATGTCCCGCGTGGACGGGGCAGGCTCTGCTGGCCGAGCGGCTGACTGAGTCTCAGCAAGCAGGGTCTCCACACCACCGCTGAGACGGCTGTAGATTGATTGATTGATTGACTTTTGTGTCTGTGCTGGGCTTTGAACTTAGGGCCTGGGCACTGTCCGTGAGCTTTGTCACTCAAGGCTGGTGCTCTACCACTTGAGCTACAGCGCCACTTCTGCCTTTTGGTGGGTCATTGGAGATCAGAGTCTCATGGACTTTGATGTCTAGGCTGGCTTTGAACTGTGATCCTCAGATCGCAGCCTCCTGAGTAGCCATCTTCACAGGCGAGAACCTCCCCCTCCTCCTCCATCATCCTTTCCCTCCACCCTCCTTCCCTTCCCCTTCCTCCCTCTTCCCCCTCCCCCTCCTCCTCCTCTTCCCTCTCCTCCACCCCTTCCTCTTCCTCCCCCTTCCTCCTCTTCCTCCCTCTCCATTCCCTCCACCCCTTCCTCCCGCTCCCCCTCCTCCTCCCTCATCTTCCCTTTCTTCCTCCCCCTCCTCCTCTTCCTTCCTCTCCACCCTTCCTCCTACCCCTCCTCCCTCTCCACCCCTTCTTCCTCCTCTCCCTTCCCTCCTCGCCCTCCTCTTCCTCTTCCTCTCCCTCCTCTCCTCCCCCTCCATCCCATCCTCCTCTTCCTCCCCCCTCCTTCCTCCCCCTTCCCTCCTCTTCCTACTCCACCCCTCCTCCTCTTCCTCCCCCTCTCCCTCCTCTCCCTCTCCTCCTCTTCCCTCCCCACCCCCTCCTTTCCTTCTTCCCCCTCCCCCTCCCCCCTCCTCCCCTTCCTCCTCCGTCTTCTCTGCCTCCTCCCTGCGCGGCGTGGGTCCGGGGCTCACGCGTCCGTCCGGTCTGTGGCAGGGGCGCGTGTGTGGTCTATGCGGGAATTTCGACGGGGTTCAGAACAACGACCTCACCAGCAGCAGCCTCCGGGTGGAGGAGGACCCTGTGGACTTTGGCAACTCCTGGAAAGTGAGCGCGCAGTGCGCCGACGCACGCAAGGTGGGTGTGCGCGTGCCTGTGTGTGCCGGGACCCAGCCCCGTCTCCCCCCATGTGCCCACCGCATTGTCCCCTGGGTTCACAGGCCCCCCTGGGCATGGCCCCGACGCTGTGCGGCGGTGACCTGGACAGGCAGTCGGTGGCCGATTCCTCCTGCAGGATTCTCACCAGTGACCTCTTCCACGCCTGCAACCAGCTGGTGAGGGCTGCGGGTGTGGGGGGGCGGGCGTGGGGAGGGAGGTGGGGGGGACACACCCGCCCAGCCCGGGCTCCTGGACAGGCCAGGCCTGGCCACACGTTGGTCTTGAATTTGAGACACACCCGCTCCCCTGCCTGGCTGCCTCAGTCCCCGGTGGTGCTAACTTGGGGTCACCTCACCCCCAGCTCCAAAGCCAAGCGCCGTCCCCGATCTGTGTCTCCATACCTGAGCCCTGACAGTCACCCCTGCCCCAATCCCCACCTAAACAACCCCTCAGCGACCCGTCCTTTATCCCAGCTTTTGCTTTTTGTTTTATGGCCAGTCCTGGGACTTGAACTTGCGGCCTGGGTGCTGTCCCTGAGCTGCTTTTACTCAAGGCTGGTGCTCTACCAAGCAAGCCACAGCATCACTTCCAGCTTTTTCTGTGTCTGTGGCACTGAGGAATGGAACCCAGGGCCTCATGCATGCTAGGCGAGCGCTCTACCACTGAGCCACCTGCCCCGCCTCCTGCTGGTATTTTTAAGTATGCCTATGGATTCCGGTGGAAATGGAAAGCAGGAAGCCATGCTCGTCTCTCTGTCACCTGGGTGTTGGGGCCCTGAGTCTTCCCTGGTGCCTGTCACCTTCTTATCACCTGGTAACGTGGAAGCTTTCCTCCCACAGCGGAGAAGGCTGTGATGAGTCACTGAGAAAGAGAAGAAAAAAAAGTTAGTTTTGTTTTTTTGTCAGTTCTGGGGCTTGAACTCAGGGCCTGGGCGCTATCCCTGAGCTTCTTTTGCTCAAGGTTGGTGCTCTACCCCTTGAATCACAGCTCCACTTCTGGCTTTATCTGTGTGTGTGGCACTGAGGAATCGAACCCCGGGCTTCATGCATGCTAGGCGAGCACTCTACCACAGAGCCACCTGCCCAGCCCATGGGTCTCAACACTCTGGTTTGGCCTTTTCTGTTCATGTCTGGGTGCTCTACCATTTGAGCCACACCTCCACTTTCGGCTTGTCTATTGGTTAAGGAGAAATAAGAGCCTTTGGAAGTTGCTTGCCCAGGCTGATTTCGCACCACAATCTTCAGATCTCAGCCTCCCGAGTAGCCGGGATTACAGGCATGCGCCCCTGGTACGTTCTCAGGGATATGAAGGTCGTTTTTCTCCTATGGACCACCAGAACCTTGACCCGGCCAAGAGCCACGGGCCTCCAGTGTCTAGGGCCGAGGTCACCAACCCCCGGGGTGGGGGGACTCTTTTCTCAGGTGGACCCCGAGCCGTACCTGGACGTCTGCGTTTACGACACGTGCTCCTGCGAGTCGGTGGGGGACTGCGCCTGCTTCTGCGACACCATCGCTGCCTACGCCCACGCCTGTGCCCAGCAGGGCCAGGTGGTGGCCTGGAGGACGCCCACACTGTGCCGTGAGTCCCAGCGGCCCCCCCTGCCCGGGGGGGAGGGGTCCCACATACCTCCCCTCCCCCACCCTCCACCAGCATCTAGACACCACAGTCCGTGGGGGACAGGTGGATGGAGGACACCCCCACGGGAGACAGGGACAACCCCAACAGGCAGCTAGATGACTGGCCACGGGCCGTGGAGAGAGAGGAGGCCGCGTGGGTAAGGTGTTCTCGAGGGGGGGTGAGCAGTCAGTATGTGTGTGTTTCCTAATGTTTTATTTCGGTGCAGTTCCTAGGCCTTGAACTCAGGGCCCCGGTGCTGTCCTTAAACTTCTTTTGCTTAAAGCTGGTGCTCTACCACTTGAGCCACACAGCTCCATTTCTGGCTTTGCTTTGGGTAGTGGATTGGAGGTCAGAGTCTCATGGACTTTGCTGCCCAGGCTGGTTTGAAACTGATCCTCAGGTCTCAGCCTCCTGAGTCTCTGGGATGACGGCGTGAGCCTGTGCCTGGCTTAGTATATATGTTTACTTGGACCTAGTTCTATTTGCCATAGTGTGGCTAGTTTATGTGTTTAGAATCTGCCTTCCTTGGCAGTGTGTGTGTGTGTGTGTGTGTGTGTGTGTGTGCATGTGTGTGCTGGTCTTGGGGCTTGCACACAGGTCTGGGTGCTGTCCCTGAGCTTTTTCTCTGAAAGCTGGCACTCTACCACTTAAGGCACAGCTTAAGTTGTGGGGCTTGAACTCTGGGCCTGGGCGCTGTCCCTCAGCTCTTCAGCCCAAGGCTGGTGCTCTACCCCTTGAGCCACAGCGCCACTTCTGGTTTCCTGGTGGTTCATTGGAGATCAGAGTCTCACGGACTTTGCTGCCTGGGCTGGCTTTGAACCGTGATCCTTAGATCTCAGCCTCCAAGTAGCTGGGATGACAGGCGGGAGCCGCCGGTGCCCAAGACAAAATGTTTTGATGCAGCAGTTTGGGCCCCGAGGTTCTTGGTTTCGTTTTAGGTCTCCACCGCTGCCTCCTCCTCCGACCTTTGCCTCCGGCCCCTGCCCACCCCCTCCAGAGCCTCCATGATAACCTCATGGTCCCCACTCTTCCTCTGCCTGCCCCTCCCCAGCTCAGAGCTGCGAAGACAGGAACGCTCGCGAGAACGGCTACGAGTGTGAATGGCGGTACAACAGCTGCGCGCCGGCCTGCCCCATCACCTGCCAGCACCCTGAACCCCTGGCCTGCCCTGTGCAGTGTGTGGAGGGCTGTCATGCACACTGCCCTCCGGGTAAGGCCTGGCCGGGCCGGGAGAGGGAGGAGGGCGAGGGGTGGGGCCAGGAGCCGTGCATTGGGCGGGGCTGGCTTCTCAGGGTTGGCATCTCCCCTTCCCTCTCCTGCTTCCTCAGCCCGAGCCCCCCCTCCTCACCCCTGCCGTCCACGCAGCCATTCCCTCCTCACCCCTCCCCTCATCCAAGCCAGGCCAGCTCCCACATTGCCAACTTCAGCTCCTGCCGAATGCTTGCGCGAAAGAAAAAGGTTTTATTCCCGAGCCAGCTGGCACTGCTGGCTCCCGCCTCTCATCCCAGCTACTCGGGAGGCTGAGATGTGAGGATCGTCGTTCGAAGCCAGCCCCGGGCAGGAAAGTCCATGAGACTCTGATCTCCCATGAGCCAGCAAAAAAAAGCCAGAAGTGGTGCTGTGGCTCAAGTGGTAGAGCGCCAGCCTTGAGCACAAAAGCTCAGGGACAGCACCCAGGTTCTGAGTTCAAGCCCTAGGACTGCCAAAATTAAAAAAAAAAAAACAAAGATAAAAGTTCTGGGGCCAAATGGAGCCCAGGTCCCCACCTGTGCGCTGCACATGGCCTTAGCACCAAGTTAGGTCCAAGCCCTGCGTCTCAAGTCTATTGTAAGTTTATTTATGGTCTTCCCTCCCTCCCTCTCTCCCTCC